TGGAGCAGGAATAGAAGCCGGGGGAAAAATGCTGTGAAGGGCTTTGCTGAGCCACGTCAGCTCCACCTGAGTTCCCTCTTGTCACCTCTCAGTGTCATCCCACCACCTCAGACGCTTCAGCAGAAAGGTTCCCCCCAGAAAAATTAATGTGTTTTTTTTCTCAGCACTGAAATTTATCTCAAGAATGTGTCCATTGCAGAGAAATGTTCAGCTGGAATAAATCCCTTCTGCTCTCCAGCCTGGGTTTAAACATTTCCTCTGGGCTTTTGTACTTTGGGATTTAAATCTTGTTGTTATTTAAGCATATCAGATAAGTTTTTAGGTCATTTGCAAATTGCTTTTACCTTTCTGCAGTCATCAGCCAGCGATATCTGAAGGAAAACTTTTCCTGTTTTTCAGCAGAAATGTTATTTATTCTGCTAACAGCACTGCCTTCTGGCTCCAGGCACAAACCAATGCAAACTTCACAGAAATTCCATTTTCTGACCTATCTTTGTGCTAACTGAGGCATAACTGTGGTCCAAATGTCATGGCAGCTCAGAGCCAGAGTTTACATTTTCAGAGTGCATGAAGGAAAACATCCCTCACCTCACTTTCAAACAGCCTTGCATTATTCAGCCAAAATCCCCACGGGCTTTGGAAAAATGTGTAAGACCAGATTTTCCCTGTTTCATCCTTGCAAAGAGCCAGAGACCAACCACATAATTCTCTTCCACATCAAAACCTTCTTGGGTTCATCCAACAGAGCTGAATGCAGGATAAAAATCAACCTAGTGATGAATAAGTGGAGATTTTGTCTTTCTGTCCTTCAAATGACACATTTGCATTGGGGTTGAATGCCCTGAAAAGTCTAAGCAGAGTTTTGTGATGAAGCAGATTTTAAGAACAGCCCCTGGCACAGCTTTTTCTCCTGCTTGCAAATTGTTTTTTTTAAAAAAGAGTTAAGGTTCTGGCTGAGTTCTTAGGATGCAAGCCCTGATTAGCCCCAAATCCTGGAGAGCACCCAAAGCAACAGCCCCTGGCACAGCTTTTTCTGCTGCTTGCAAATTGGTTTTTTTTTTTTTTAAAGAGTTAAGGTTCTGGCTGAGTTCTTAGGATGCAAGCCCTGATTAGCCCCAAATCCTGGAGAGCACCCAAAGCTCTGCGTGAAGGAGGGAAGAAGTCTGCACAGCTGGGATGGTTTTGGTGTTAAATCAGGGGGTTTGGTGGCACTGGAAGGGATCCTGGAAGATCTGGCTGAGTGGAGCAGCAGCAGGGCCATTCCCACCTGCTCAGCCTGCCTCAGCTCCCTGGGACAGCCACGCTCCCCCCTGACCCCCTCACCCGTGGAATTGTTGGCTGGGTTTCTGTTTCAGGTGGAAATTTGCTCTTTCTGTCCCCAAGCGTGGCCCCTCCACCCATTAATCCAAATTCTGTCCCAGAATGGGGCTTCCATCCCTGCTGGGAGCTGCTGGCCTGTCCCAAAGCACTCAGGAGACGTGGCCCAGCCCCAACCCAGCCCTGTCACCGGGGGCAGTGACACAGCTTGGGTCTCTGGGGACACAGCTTGGGTCCCTGGGGACACAGCTTGGGTCCTTGGGGACACAACTTGGGTTTTTGAGGACACAGATTGGGTTCTTGGGGACACAATTTGGATCCTTGGGGACATAGCTTGGGTCCTTGGGGACACAACTTGGGTTTTTGGGGATATAGCTTTCATCCCTCATGACACAATTTGGGCCCTTGGGGACACAGACTGGGTCCCTGGAGACACAGTTTGGGTCCTAGGGACACAGTTTGGATCCTTGGGGACACAGCTTGGGTTTTTGGGGACACAGATTGGGTCGCTGGGGACAGATTTTGGGTCCTTGGGGACACAGACTGGGTTCCTGGGGACACAGCTTGGGTTTTTGGGGACACAGATTAGGTCGCTGGGGACAGAGTCTGAGTTCCTGGGGATACAGCTTGAGTCCTTGAGGACACAATTTGGGTCCTTGGGGACAAAACTCAGGTTTTTGGGGACATAGTTTGGGTCCTTGGGGACACAGATTGGATCCCTGGGGACACAGCTTGGGTTTTTGGGGACACGGCTTGGGTTCCTGGTGACACAGCTTGGGTCCTGGTGTTGCTGAAGGCCCTGGAGACTCCAGGCATGGAGAAGGGGCTCCCCTGGGAGCCGGTGGCCTCTTTGCCACCAGGAAATGCAAACGGAGCTGTCCCAGTGGGACACAGGTGGGTCTCTGGTCCCAGGAGCCTGGTGCAGTGGAAGGTGTCCCCACCCATGGCCAGGGGGTGGGACTGGAGCCTCCTTAGGGTCCCTTCACCCCAAACCCCTCTGGGGTTCTCCACAGGGCTCCGTTCACCTCGTGCCATCAGCCAGGAAAGTGCTGCTGGAAATGGCAAATTCCCAGCGCTGGCTTGAACCAAACCGGTTGAAAATGAGCCCAAATCCTCTTCCAAAGCCATGGATCCCCCCAGACCTGTGTGCTCCTGGGACAGCAGCTCTGGGAGCAGAAGAGGGGGTGCAGGAAAGGGGGACATATTGAGGAAGGAGGTGTCAGCCCTGAAGCCCATCTTGAAGGGGATAAACCTCAGAGTGCTCCCTTGTGACTCTGTCACTCACTGGCTGAGCCACAGATCCCTTTTTTTCCCCAAAACTGCCACCCAATTACTGGCAAATGACAATAATAACACAGTTCTGTGGATTTTTAGTCTGGGCAAAAGAAAAATCATATTTTCCAAACCCCAGTATTCCTTTTTAGCAGTGCCTTTGCCATGCTTCCCATCACAAATCCCTTTTCCAGTGGGCAGCACCCACAGCCACCAAAGGTGAGGATGAGCCCTGCATCCCATCTCCAAAAGTCAGGGAAAAAAAGTTTAGTGAAGTTAATCCAAGAGGAAAAAGATAAGAACTAAAACTGCTGCTTCACATCTTGCTCTCGCTTGTGGTGTTCAAACATTTTTGCTTCTCAGATGGGAAATTCAAATAATCTCAAAGCAACAATAATCAATAAGGTAAAAGATGGTGGTTTTAATTTATTCCAGTTTTGTCACATCTGTCTCAACACAGTGGGCCCTGTTTTAAAAACAGGCTTAAAATTTGCACAAAGATGCAAACCTTCACTGCCTTTAGTTAAAAACTGAACAAATGAACATCCAAAGGAGGAAAATCAGAGAAGAAAATGACCTGTCAGCACAGTCCAGCACAGAGCTTTGTAGGTTTGTGCCCAGAGTGGGCAATTATGGTCTCTCCTCATCCCTGGAGTAGCAGGAGCTGTTACACCAGTTCTCATTATCATTGGTGACAGCACTTATGTATTTCAACAGGACATTTAAATAAATATGTGCAGATCACTGCTCTGAAACACAAATGGTGCCTGGGGGAGAGGTGGCTTGGGGAGGTGACTCCCAGCAGCAGCCAGGATTACCCAAAGCTCCATCACACCCTTTCCCCTCTGTCTCCTCTCGTTTATTCCCTCCTCTCCTGGCCAGGCAGGGGTGGGTTTTTCCCTGAACACTCATTTATGGCTCTGCCTCCTTGCCTGGGTGGTGTTTGGTGAGGGGAAGCCCTCATTCCCTGCCAGCGTGATGGCTGCAGCAGGAGCAGATGTTGCCTGGCCTGCCTGGAGCACAGATGCCCCAGAAATCTTCACCCAGCCCTGAGAGCTGTGTGTATAAATAACCCCCGTGGTTAGAAAGCAAAGAGCCTGGAAAAATCTGCCTGACCCAAGGGGCTGGGACCACGCTGGGCTGCCTTTTATCTCCGAGCTGAGCCTGGGAGTTGTTCTCAGCTGGTTATTTTTAAATAACCAACAACACTTCCCTGCAGCTCTGTCCTGCACCAGCAGCAGCAGCAGGTGGGGCTTTCAGCACAGCTCTCGGGTGGGAACGAGCTCTTGGTGGCCATCCCTGAGCTCTGGTGGATGTCACAGCGTGTGGCTTTCAGGAGGAGGAGGACTGACATGTGCTGGGGAGACCCTGCTAGTGGGGGATCACCCAAGGAGCATTCAGTGCCCCTGTGGAGTGACCACGAGGTGATTCACTGCTGTCCCCAGAGCTGAAGGACCTTGAGGGGAAGGAGGTCACTGCCCCAGCGTGCTGGAGCCCAATCCCTACCCCAGGAATAAACAGGGATAATGTGGCCTCAGCCCTGCTGCATCTTCTCAGTCTCTCAGTGGGAGATCTCCAGCCCTGGAGGAGTTTTTGGAGATCTCCAGCCTTGAGGGTGTTTGGAGATCTCCAGTCCTGGGGGTTTTTGGAGATCTGCAGCTCTGGAGATGTTTGGAGATCTCCAGTCCTGGGGGGATTTGGGGATCTTCAGCCCTGGAGTGAGAATTTGGAGATCTCCAGTCCTGGGGATTTTTAGAGATCTCCAGCCCTGTGGGGAGAATTTGGAGATCTCCAGCCCTGGCTGCGGGGGGAGTTTGGAGATCTCCAGCCCTGGGGGGATTTGGGGATCTCCAGTCCTCGGGGGAGGTTTGGAGATCTCCAGCCTTGGGGGATTTGGAGATCTGCAGCCCTGGAGGGGTTTTTGGGGATCTCCAGCCCTGGGGGTTTTTGGAGATCTGCAGCCCTGGTGCTCTCCTCTGGAACCTCCCTGTGTCCTTTGGGAGAGCAAGCTGTCATTGTGCCACGTGCTGAAATTGAAACATGAAGCCAGGGTTGTGGTAATTTAACTTTTTTAGAGGTTTACTCCCCAAAAATGCCTCCCAGACCCTGGTTTTCCTGGCGTGGCATATTCCCACCAAGGTGTGTTCATCCCAACACCTCACTCAGCTGATAAGGCTTTTCCTGCCTGTCTTGGGTGACTAATTCCAAACAGAGAATAAACTTATCAGTAAAGATAAGGGAGTAATTAGTTTATAACAGGAAACCTCAAGGAATGGAGCTGCAATAAAATGCAGGTGCTGCTCCTTGAAAGAGCATCCAGGCAACAAGTTCCAATTAGCAGGAATTGCCCTTCCAGGTCCATTCAGGCTTTTTTGGAAGCCAGAGCTCTGAATGCCCTGCTTTGATCAGCATCAGGGATAAAAATTCCTGATAAACCATACGGTTTCTAACACCCCTTTTAATCCCAGTGCAGATCTTCCCACGTTTTCTGCCCTCAGAGATCTTGGCTGGACTTTCTGCCCTGGCTCTCCATTTCCACTCTCAGCACAGCAGAAATGTTATTTATCCTGCTAACTACTTATTCTGCTAACTACTTATTCTGCTAACAGCACTGACACACCGAGCCCTGGTGCTGCTGGAATGGCAATGCCAAAGCTCCTTGGACCATCAGGGTGGAGGTTTTGATCTTGAAAGAAGTTTTCTTCTTGCTTCAGGCTCCCTGTGCATCCCCATCCCTGCTATTCCTTCCTGCAGCTGCAAAGAAGGCAGAAAACTCTCTGTAGGTGCTCAAAACCCCTTTCCCACTCTTCACCTGCTCTCTGCTCCTTCCACCAGCTCGGAGAGAGGGGAACCACCTCCTTCAGGCACAGCTTTTCCTGGCAGTGCAGCAAAGCAGGAGCCTCAGGGCAGTTTTTTTTTCTCACTAGCGAGCTTCCCTTTCTTCCTTTAATTTTTTAAAATTATTTTTTCACCCCCAACGGCCCAGGAGCTTCTGCCAGAATGCGTTTTCCACGTGTTCCCTGTTAGTCATGCTCTCCAAACCTCCCACCAGTGCCACTGATGCTCACTCACTCCCCACCGGCACAAGCGCTCGGCGCAGCAAAATTCCGGGCGGCGCTCCTAAAACCAGACCCGGCGGCTTGTTTGGATTTAAAACCCTTTCAAGCCCTTCTCTCTGCTTTGGAGGGCGTGTGGAGCACCTTCCCAGCTTCTCCCGAGGCTGGGCCAGGCCGGGGGTCGGGCGGGGGCTGCCGGCAAAGGCGGGGTCTGAGCGCCTTAAATAGGGAGCGGCGCTGGAGGCAGCCCTGGGGTTTTATCCCGGGCAGGATAAAGCTCTTTACCCACGGCAGAGGGATTGGAGGCACGGGGATGTCGGTGGAGGGGGGAAAGCCACGGCGAGAAGCATCATGTCTCTGTAAGTAGATTTTTTTTCCCCCCTCCTTGGAGTTCAGGCAGTGGAGGGAGAAGTGTGCAGAATGGACTGACATCCAGCTAGCCCTGATTCTATTTTTTTTTTTAATTTTTTTTTGTTATTTGGCGTGTTTTAGAGTCGGTTTTTAAAGTTTTCACAGCTCCTACAGCTGTGCCTGTGGTTGTGTGGAGGGTTTTGGGAAGTCACTGTGGTGAGAACAGCTCATTCCTGCACAGTTCTGGCTACTTCAGGAGCTGGTGGTGGTTTGAGCAGCCCTGTCCCTCCTTTGCAGCTGTTTTGAAGTGTAGCTTGTCCCCTGTGTGTGTTTCATGCACTGTGTGTCACCTCTGCAGGTGATGATGGAATGGATTTCAAAACCAGAGACATGGGGAGTCCTTTCTTGGGGAGATAATTCAGTTACATGACTCTGCACTGGAGTTCAGGCAGAGGAGTGAGAAGCATGCAGAATGGACTTACGTCGAGCTAGCACTGATTTATATTTTTTTCGTTCTTTGGCATGTTTTCAAGTCAGTTTTTAAAGTTTTCCCAGCTCCTACAGCTGTGCCTGTGGTTGTGTGGAGGGTTTTGGGAAGTCAGTGTGGTAACAGCTCATTCCTGCACAGTTCTGGCTACTTCAGGAGCTGGTGGTGGTTTGAGCAGCCCTGTCCCTCCTTTGCAGCTGTTTTGAAGTGTAGCTTGTCCCCTGTGTGTGTTTCATATGCTGTGTGTCACCTCTGCAGGTGATGATGGATGACTGAATAAATGGGTTTCAAAGCCACAGGGATGGGGAGTCCTTTCTTGGGGAGATAATTCAGCTACATGAATCTACACCTCATCTAATCCCTGTGCCTGCTGCAGATCTACCCAGATGTTTGGTTTTGGTGGGGTTTTTTGTTTGTTTGTTTTGTTTTGGGTTTATTGGGTTTTTTTGTTTGTTTGGGGGTTTTTTTGTTTTGTTGTTGTTGTTGGGTTTCTTTTGTTTTGGATTTTTTTTGTTTGTTTGTTTGTTTTTTGGGGTTTTTTTGTTGGTTTCTTTTTTTTTTTTTTTTTTTTTTTTTTTTTTTTTGTTGGGTTTTTTTTTTTTTGTTTTTGTTGGTTTTTTTTTTTTTTTTTTTTTTTTTTACCCAGACTGCATAACTTTCACACTGCACAGAGGAATTGGGTCTGTAGGAGGTGGAAAGATGCAGAAATCTGTGTTCTGTGCTTTGGTGGTTGGGGCTGTGAGGAGAGGAGACACAGCCTTTTCCTAGTGCCAGTCTAGCGCTGTGAACGAGTCTTTCCTTGGAAGCTTCTTTAATTTATAATTGATTCCAAAACATCGTGGTGCACTAAACTCCAAGCAACTAAAAGCACAGAAATCCCACAGTTTGGTCTTTGTAGCCAGTGAGTCCTAAACCCCGCTGGAAGTTTGTAGGGAGGGGTTTTTCCCTCATTTCCCTGGGCTCCTGCTCTCAGTCACAGTGCCAGGAGGGCAGGGGGACTCCCAGGGGTGCAAGGCCAGGGTGGGACCCCTCAGAGCGGGGTCCCAGGGTGCAGGAGCAGCTCGGGGCTGGCTCCCGCAGATGTTCCTGCAGATCCAGATGTGCACAGAGGGCTGGGCAGTGGCAGGACCCACAGCTCAGGGATGGTCTTCCCAAAGCAACAACCCCTCACTTCTGTTACTTCACAATTTCTGTCCTTTTCCCTGCCTCGGGAGATTGGGAGCACTTAATTGGGTTTTCCTTTCTAAAATGTATCTCTTAGAGGAGAGGGTGCTGTGCTAACAACCCTGACAAATGCCAGTTCCAAACTTTGAATATTTACTCTTGGGTTGTCCTTTCTAAAATGTATCTCCTAGAGGAGACAGAGGGTGCTGTGCTAACAACCCTGACAAATGCCAGTTCCAAACTTTGAATATTTACTCCAAAAGCTGTCACAACCTTGGTCAGCCCCTTCCTGCCCCTGCAAATTGCTTCTGGGAGGTGCATTTGAGCTTTGGGAATTGTGTCCATGAGTAACACTTGCAAAACGGTGAATTATCCTTGGTGTGGTCTTTAGGCACTGAAATTTAGATGAACTGCTCTGCAGGACATTCAAAGTGCATTTTAAGGAACAATTTGGGGCTTGCAGCTAATTTGGGGAGCTGGTGGGGGGGTTTGGACACCTGCATGGGGCCAGGCGAGGTGGGGCTGCATCCAGCCCTGCCTCATCCACACCCGGATGCTCCACAGACAGATGCTCCATGCCCCACACCCAGCAGGGTCTTCCCTTCCCAGCCTCCCCTCAGCTGGAGCTTGGCTGAGTGCCTGGATTAATCCTGCAAATCATCTAACACCCCAGTTTGCCCTTATCTGAATGTCAGCACGACAGGGGAAGGGTTAAATACCCCTTGGGGTGTACCCACTGCAAGGAAGCAAAAAAAGGCACTCAAAGAGGGAACCTCCGCATCCTGCTGAATTATCCTTGGTGTGGTCTTTAGGGCAGCACTGAAATTCGGATGAACTGCTCTGCAGGACATTCAAAGTGCATTTTAAGGAACAATTTGGGGCTTGCAGCTAATTTGGGGAGCTGGTGGGGGGGTTTGGACACCTGCATGGGGCCAGGCGAGGTGGGGCTGCATCCAGCCCTGCCTCATCCACACCCGGATGCTCCACAGACAGATGCTCCATGCCCCACACCCAGCAGGGTCTTCCCTTCCCAGCCTCCCCTCAGCTGGAGCTTGGCTGAGTGCCTGGATTAATCCTGCAAATCATCTAACACCCCAGTTTGCCCTTATCTGAATGTCAGCACGACAGGGGAAGGGTTAAATACCCCTTGGGGTGTACCCACTGCAAGGAAGCAAAAAGAGGCACTCAAAGAGGGAACCTCCCCATCTCACCCCTGAATAAACCAAATTTCCTCAGTAAATAAAGAATATCTCAGTGGGCATCACTTTCCATGTCCTGCAGTGATTAAATTATCCCACCTGCACAGCTGTACTGACCAAGGCATCATTTTGGGGCAGGAGAGGGGGATTTTGGTCCCATCAGCTTTGAGGGCTGATGGCAGAGAGGAGAATTTCCCCACCTCTCCTTCTGGCTGATGACCCAGCTGTGCCTCAGTTTCCCCAGCCCCAGGACAAGAATAGCACCATCTGCAGAGCTCTCCCACAGGCCGGGCCCGGCGTGTGAAGACTTGGGGGTTTGTGTTCGCAGGGGATTTGTTTGATCTGGAAATAGCAGGGTTAGAAAATTCCATCTGCCTGCTCTCGAGAGCCCTGGGCGGGGGCAGCGCCACTGCGAGCGCCAAGCGAGGCAGCCCCGCCTGGCTCCTGTCCTGGGAAGCAGTGGGAGCAAAAAACTGCATTCCAGAAGGGCTGGATGTGGAGAACAGAGTGGGGCACGTCTCCCTTCCTGCTGCTGGCTGGGGCTGTGTTCCCACCACGGAAACCCTACTGCAGGATTTTGTGTCTCCAGTGGGGCAAAGCCAGGCTGGTGTCTCATGGCATCACCAAGCCACGTTGGATGGGGCTTGAGCAGCTTGTGGAAGGTGTCCCTGCCCATGGAGCAAGATGATCATTAAGGTCCCTTCCAACCCCCTAAACTTATAGGATTCTGAGATTTTATGATGGTTTTCTCCACTCAGCCATGCTCACCCAGCATGAAGAGTTATGGTTGAAGCCCATACTTCTTGCACGTAGGAAAACAGCTCCTTTCTCTTCTCTTCTCTTCTCTTCTCTTCTTTCTTTTTTTTCCTTTTTTGGGTGCAGGTGCTTTCCCTCCTGCTCTCATCCCTCAGTATCTGTGCCAGCCAAGCAGTGAAATTGCCTCCTGTCTTTAGTGCTGCCTGAGGTCACCCAAGGAACTTGGGCTGAGGCCCTGCTGCAAGTTAAGCTAAACACAAAATGCTTGTTACAAGCTCTTCCTCCCCAGCTGTCCAGGTCTCCTAATAAATCCATGGTTTTCTCTTGAAAGCTTCTCAAGGTTTATTTTTGAAACAGTCTGTATTTGATTAAAGTTTTGTTTTGTTTTGCTTTGTTTCAAGAGGAACTTAAAAGGGCCATCGGCCTGTAAACATAAATATTCCCATTCTTTCACTGATTCTTTGCATTTTTCTCGGTTTACTAATGAAAGATATTTCAGCAGGGCAAGTCTCTGTGTTGTGGGAGCATCCTCTACTGCTCTAGCCCTGACCATGCTTTAGGGGGAGAAATTTTCCCTAATATCCAATCTAAACCTCCCCTGGTGCTAACTGAGGCTGTTCCCTCTCCTCCTGTCCCTGTTCCCTGGAGCAGAGCTCGACCCCCCAGCTGTCCCCTCCTATCAGGAGCTGTGCAGAGCTACAAGGTCCCCCCAAGCCTCCTTTTCTCCAGGCTGAGCCCCTTCCCAGCTCCCTCAGCTGCTCCTGGTGCTCCAGACCCTTCCCCAGCTCCGTTCCCATCTCTGGACTCGCTCCAGCCCCTCTATGTCTTTCTTTGTCATGAGGAGCCCAAACCTGACCCTGGGATTCAAGGTGTGGCCTCACCAGTGCCCAGCACACAGGTCAGTCACTGCTCTGGTTGTCCAGCTGGCACAAGATGTGACCTCACGTCCCTGTTTTTTTATCTCCCCCTCTCCCTGCAGGTCATAACTGAGCAGCCCTTATGACCAACATGAGCTGGAGCTTCCTCACCCGCCTGCTAGAAGAGATTCACAATCACTCCACCTTCGTGGGGAAGGTCTGGCTCACCGTGCTCATCGTCTTCCGCATCGTGCTGACGGCCGTGGGGGGCGAGTCCATCTACTCCGATGAGCAGAGCAAGTTCACCTGCAACACCAAGCAGCCGGGCTGCGACAACGTCTGCTACGACGCCTTCGCGCCGCTGTCGCACGTCCGCTTCTGGGTCTTCCAGATCATCGTGATCTCCACGCCCTCCGTCATGTACCTGGGCTACGCCATCCACAGGATCGCCCGCTCGGCCGAGGAGGAGAAGAAGTTCAAGGGGTTCAAGAAGAAGAAGCAGTTTGCCCTCAACTGGCAGGCCGTGCGCAACATGGAGGACGCCATGGAGGCCGACGAGGAGGAGCCCATGATCTCGGACGACGCGGCCGAGCACGAGAAGGCCAAGGCCAAGCCCAAGTGCAAGGAGCAGCAGAAGCACGACGGGAGGAGGCGCATCCAGCAGGAGGGACTGATGAAAATCTACGTCTTCCAGCTCCTCACCCGGGCCTCCTTCGAGGTTTGCTTTTTGATAGGGCAGTATTTGCTCTACGGTTTCGAGGTGGAAGCTTACTACGTCTGCAACAGGGTCCCTTGTCCCCACACCGTGGACTGCTTCGTGTCCCGGCCCACGGAGAAGACCATCTTCCTGCTGGTGATGTACGTGGTGAGCTGCCTGTGCCTGCTGCTGAACATGTGCGAGATGTTCCACCTGGGCTTCGGCACCATCCGCGACGCCATCCGCAACCGGAAAATCAACAGCTTCCGGCAGCCCCCCTACAACTACGCCTACCCCAAGAACATCTCCTGCCCTCCCGAGTACAACCTGGTCGTCAAATCCGAGAAGTCCACCAAGATCCCCAACAGCCTGATGGCCCACGAGCAGAACTTGGCCAACGTGGCTCAGGAGCAGCAGTGCACCAGCCCCGACGAGAACCTGCCGGCGGATCTGTCCACGCTGCACAAGCACCTGCGGGTGGCCCAGGAGCAGCTGGACATCGCCTTCCAGAGCTACAGCAGCACCCAGGCCAACACGCAGCCCTCTCGGACCAGCAGCCCCGCCTCGGGGGGCACCGTGGTGGAGCAGAACAGGGCCAACACCGCCCAGGAGAAACAAGGTGCTAAACCCAAGGCCTCGCTGGAGAAAGGCAGCTCCAGCAGTAAAGATGGGAAGACGTCCGTGTGGATATAACTCTGTGAGGAAGGAGAGAGGGCGGCGTGAGAGGGGTTTTTGTTTTGGTTCGTTTCTGGTTTTCGGTGTTATCTCGCGTTTGTTTGGCAGGGCACGTTTTTTGTGTGGAAGTCAAGAGAGTAAAAGGAGTTTCGGACCAATTTAGTGCTGTCTTCCAGTTAACAAAAGACATTTCTTCCCCTGTTTCCACTTCCTGAGTGACAGGGACCTCCAGAGAGTAACAGCAAACCCACCCCACCTCCCAGCCCCTGGCTCAGCGCCGCAGCCCCCAGCAGAGACTGGACAGTGTGCCGTGGTGGGAAGAGGAGGGAAAAGTCAGGCTGGCAGGGATCAGCCACCCTCCTGCATGGCAAGGCTGGAGTGCTGCAGGCCAGGCAGTGTTTAATTACTAAACGCCCTTAACCAAATTAATTCCCGATCCTTTGGTAAGAAAACCGCTGACATGTTGCAGGGACCTTGGTGGCAGGCTCACAGCTGATGGCCTGATGCCAGGGGAGGCCTCGTTGGATGCTGTGAGCCAGAGCTGGCACCCAGGTCAGGTCTGGGGTGACTGCCTCACACAGGGAGACCTAAAACCAGCACAGGGCTGAAGGTTTCATCTTTCCTTCCTCTGCTCCAAACCCTCTGGAGCAGGAGCGAGCAGTGACATTGCATCCTACTGGTGCCTGTGTAGCCTTGCTACAGATGTGATGGGAATTGTTGCAGTTAACAGGGTTTTTAACAAACTGCTGCTTCACATCATCAGAAAGTGCCTTTATGCAACCAGGAAAACAGAAGTGTAAAGGGTTTAGGTTCCTTCACTTGCTGAATTTTAGACGATCAGCGTCGGCAAATTTGTTTTTCTGATTAATTGAGGAAAAGCGCTGTTGGCAAATTTGTTTTTCTGATTAATCAAACCCTTATAAATAGTGGCAGGAGGAAGATCTATGCATAGCGTGTCTCTGGGGGGTGTGGGTGTGTGTCCATGTGTAGATACAGACACTCTGAACACGTGTGTGTGAACGTAGACATAGAGAGCTACGTGTAAATGTAATATCACCCCTCTGCTCCTCTACAGCCTTCCACCTCCCCTGAGAAAACCCAGCTGCTCCAGGGCTGGGGCTGATCTCATCCTGGGGCTTTTACCTCCAGCTCCACCTGGAACTGGGAGAGTTCCTACACTTGCTGGGGGGGCTTTGCAGAAGGTCTGGCTTCAGTGGGGACAGGGCCTGATGATAGAAGGAAGGTTTTCCTGAGTTTATGTGGAATTTTTTCAGCTGGGCTTGACTTTTAGGGTGGTGAGGAAGGTTTTCGTGAGTTTATATGTGGAATTTTTTCAGCTGGGCTTGACTTTTAGGGTGGTGTTCATGCACTTAGAGTATTTTGGGTGTGTGTTAAAATCAAGATGCTGAGCTCCAAGGCTCCTACTGTTCTTTGTCAGGGGGGGTTTCATCTCCCCCACAGAGAACCCAGACAGGCAGAGCCTTCAGGATCAAACCTATTGCAAAAGAAATGAATTCTCCCTGAGCACTGCACTGTCCCTGTGCCAAGCTGTTCCCTCGGGCTGTGCCAGGATCTCTTATCCATGGGATATTCCTGACTTCTCTCTGGACATCACTCCCATGTCCTTGAGGTCAGTCCCTAACGGCCCTGAGGATGCCTGTTCCCCTTTGGTCATTCTTGGGAACAGGCAGGGAATTTGGATGTGCCCTTCATTTCCTGGGAACTTCGGCTGAGCTGTGTGATGCATTAGAGAACAGTCCTGGAAGCAAAAAAAAAAGAGTAGGATTAAAAAGAAAGCAGAGAAACATCCTACAAGGTATCCAGCAGCAAATACTCAGCTTTGTGGCTTTGTGTATCTGGCCGGGGAACCTTCCAGGCCTGCTCTGGTCCTGCTGAAGGCATTGGTAAAATGCCTGGAATGTTGTTTGCTCTTGCAGCTTGAGATCTTCCCCTCACAAAGGGGTAACTGGACCCAGGAGGAGGATCAGCACAGCAGCAGCCAGCAGTGCCATCCATCCATCCCCTTCTGCTGGGAATTCTGCAGGAAAGGCTCAGAAGGGTCACACCACGGTGGTGTGGAGACAAACATATCCCACTGCTCTGTTTGTCCTTGTCCTGTGTGTGGGAATGTGCTCTCTGCTGGGCACTGCAGGAGAGGCTGGGTGCTCACGGGGCTGCTGAAACCTGGAAAAAATGCCTGCAGGGCCACAGCCCAGGCTGCTGGGGAGGAGAGAGCTGATCCTGGGTGGAAATTTGTTCCCTGGTCGCTGCAGTTGTGCAGGGCACCAGCTTGTCCCCCCCATCAGTAGGGCTTCTCCTTCATTCCCAGCCCTGTGTCCCACGGGAAACTGTGTCTATTTAAAGCTGTGATCCCAAGAGAGGGATGGAAACTCTAAGGATGACCATGGCTGGGTTCTTCTGATTCCTTTTCCATGAGCCACAGTCCCACAGCCCCAGATAAACTTGTGCTTCCCGCACGATGCTGGAGGGCACCGCCCCGTGCAGGACTTGGGATTTTGGGTTTCTCCTGCCTCCCTCAGCACCATTCATGGCCTGAGCACTTGCTGGTGACTCAGATGTGCCCCTCAGCTCCTGCTGACCTGCAGATCCCCCCCTGAGTCACCACACCAGGGATAGGAATGTGACTCCCTTGCTCTTGCTCCAGGAAAAAATCTTGGCCAACGCCTTGCCGTGGGGAAAGCCAGGGGCAGATTTTAAGCTAAAACCCCCTCAAAACTGGTCACAGAGACCTGATGAACCCATTAAACCCAGTCAGTACAGCAGGGCTGCCCCTGCATCACCCCAACAGGAGGAGCTTCCAGCTTCAGAGCAGCAGGGTGGGAAAAGACCATGGATCTTCTTGCCAACTTGCCACCATCAAATGACTCCTGAAGGGTGAACCCCCTCTCTGCAACCCCATGGAGACATGGAGAAGTCTCATGCCTTTAACCTCTGTGTATTTTGGCTCTTTGGAGACTGTTTTCACCCTCCAATGTGCTTTAAGCTGAACACTTCCAGTCTCACCAACCTTTCTGCAAGGGCTGATTTTCCAGCGTGGTTTTCCCTGGTGTCTTTGGACCAACAGCAGCCACTTGAAATATTCCCAGCAGTGTGGCAGTGCTGCTCCTCGTGTCATTTTCTCTCCATTTTTCACTCTGGTCCTCCCCAAAACCCCGCTGCTCCCCTCTCCAGATGTGTGGTTGTACAGTCAGAATCTTCCTGCCCTCCTTCAAACCCCCTTTTTATTGTCACACAGTGAGCCAAGGGGGCTCTGAGTGACCCCTGGGTCCTGCAGAGAGGGTTTGGAGCCTCTCCCCAGCTGGTGTCACCCTCACATCTCACATGCACACGCTGTTTTCTGCAGGGAGAGTCAATAACTGCAGTATTGATGGGTACCAGAGCCAGGGCAGACTCTTGGGGGATCAATAACCCCTCACTGGGCAGGGACATGGGGTGACCACTCCCAGCCCTGCTCATCCCTCAGGTCTGGAGTACTTCCCTGCATAACATCCTTTCCAAATGGGAGCTGATCCTGCTTTCCCATTTTTTTCAGGTTTTGCCAGGAACTCAAGCACAGGGGTGTATTCCTAACTGGTGTCAGGGGTGCTTGGGAGGGATGCAGAGTTGCCTGTGGGGTCCCAGCCAGCCTGGAGGACGCTGCTGATCCTCTGAGCCTGGGGAGGAGGGATCCCAGTTTTCCCAGATCCCATCTGGGCCACACACAGGAGCCAGCACGGATCAGACAGCCCTAGGAAGAGAAAATATTATTACTATTATTATTGCTATTATTTCTATATATACTGATTTGCTCGTTTTCCCCCTTCCTCCTCCACTCTGTGACCTATAAACCCTTCAGGATGTTGGGTTTCTCCACTGAGTCACTGCCACAGAGGTGACCAAATGCAGTGATGGCTCTGCAGGAATGATTCCTTTCCGGGCAGGAGCAGCAGTCCCTTCTTTCATCCTGTCACTGGGGGCAGGAAAAGGATAGAGCAGCAAAATATTCACAGCCACAAGCAAAATCCCCACCACAATAGTTCCCAACTCAACCAGCAGCTCGAGGAAATTGATTTAGAGGGTGGAGCATCAGCCACAGAAGAAATGCCAATGGAATAATTAATGCTTTGCTTTTATTTTTGCCTTTTCTCCAGGTAGCAGTTTTGTCCACACGCAAGGCAGGTTTAGCTTTGTGGCTGAGCTAATCACAAACATTGACTCTCTTGCTAAACTTGCTCAGATAAAGTGCCCACACTTACATTTCTCTCCTTACCATTCAGGGCCAGGAATGTCCCACAAAAGCCAGATTACCTTCGTGCTTGCATTGCATTCCACTGGGAAATACTTGAACTAAACTCAAGGCCATAACCAGTCTGTGCTGTTACAAAGTGTCTGGGATTGGTGGGGTTTTTTTCTTTTTTTTTTCTTTTTTTTTCTTTTGGTTGTTATTTTTTTAATGTACTAACTGTATTTGTACTAGAAATTTTTGGAGTATGAGGTCGAATCTGTATTTTTCAGTGTAAATGTTACATCTGGGCTGTAGTTAGAATATGAAACACTGGTCAAAAGGGAAAGGGACATCAGTCCAACTCAACTGTGGCTATTCCACATCCATTACTAATAACATGGAATAAAACTTACATTTTGTTACAGTGCGTAAAGTGTGTGGTGCTTGCTTGAGCAGGGCTCTGAGCGATGAGAAGAAATCCTTCTCCATCTATAATTTGCCTGTTTTAGCCATGTAGGAGCTCTGTTTTCCCTGCTATGGCTACAAATCATCCCAGAATAGTTTTGCCTTAAGAAGCGTTTGACCTTGGCGTTGTTTGGGACTCGTTGTCTCCCTGATGAATCACTGCAGATCCCTCAGGCACTGCTGAGGGAAGCCTGGGCTCTCAAAGGCAAGAAAACTTTGGGGAATCTGGGAGAAACTGATGATTCAGGCTGAGCAAAGGATGGGAGAGCACTTTGTGAGAGAGCCTTGGTGCCTGTTAAATCCCAGGCACTGGTCACTCACAGCCCCTCTCCAAATGTCCTCAGGGAAAAAATTCTGCACTCAAACATTTGTGGTGTTTGTGAGGGTCCCAGGATGAGGGAAGAGATTAATCTGACTCCATGTTCTCAGAAGGCTAATTTATTATTTTATAATATTATATTTTATTAAAGAATACTGTACTGTACTAAAGAATACAGACAGGATACTTAATGATAATAATGAAAACTCATGACTATTTCGGAGTCTCAGCACAGCTTGGCCCTGATTGGCCAAAGAGTGAAAACAACTCACAGCAAAAGCCAATGAAACAATCACCTGTGGGTAAACAATCTCCAAACACATTCCACATGAGCACAACACAGGAGAAGCAAATGAGATAAGAATTGTTTTCCTTTTCTCTGAGGCTTCTCAGCTTCCCAGGAGAAAAACCCTGGGCGAAGGGATTTTTTCCAGAGAATGTGAATGCCACACACAACCCCTCCCATTCCTTGGGAAAGCCAGAGTGAAATTGCCAGTGGCTCTGCAGTTCTCTCTGGGATCACAGCAGCCATGGCTGCTCCTCCTGCAGACAGAATTCCAGAATTCCAGCCACAGCATCCCCCTGGCTCCCAATCCCTCCTCCCAGGGTGCTGGAATGCAAACCCCTCAGGCACAGGCCTAGAGGGAAATTTAGGTCCAGGGATTGACCTGAAACCAAGGAGAAACTGAGATATATGGAGCTACAAATAGAAATATAGATTTAGAATGTAGATTTTAGCTTTTAGTAGAAATATAATACTAAATGCCTTGCTCTAAAAATTTGGAGCAGAGAGCAGAGGCCTTTTTGCTCATAGTAACAATTCTACCATGGTAGTGGTATTTCTGTAAGGTTACCCTGCCCCAGACAAAATGCTCAAAATCCCACTCAGTTATTACTATTTCATTACTACTACCATACCAAAAATAACAATAAATCTCTTTAGAACTCTCACCTTCAAAAGATCTTAAAAGAATATAAAAGAAAGACTATAGTACAACACAACAATGACAACCTATTCCTTTTTGCTCTCACCTAGAGTAAAACACCCACCACAAAGCCACACCAGGGAAATGCAGCACCAGCTGTCCCTTCCCCTCAGTCCCAGCAGCAGGAATCACAGATCCCTCAAGGCTGGGAAAGTCCTCTTGAGTCCAACCACAAACCCACCAGACCCTGTCCCCTGGTGCCACATCCACACATTTTTTTTAGGTTTTTAAACATTTCCAGGGGTGGTGATCCCACCACTTCCCTGGGCAGCCTGTTCCAATGCCTGGACACATT